CCACACAGTAAGATAATAATGGAGATTTAGTGTTTTTACAACATAGATTATAAAAAAACAAAAAGTGATGTCATTTCTTCTCTTCTGTATTCATGTGGTTTCTAACAGTTTCCAGAGACATATTCATGGCTGCTTGAAGCATGTCTTCTTCACTCATATCACCTCCTGGAGAAAAAGAAATGCATACAATTTATAAACAATTAATAATAAATAGGTAGAGCTAGTGGTCAACTCCATTAGATACCTTCTTTATTCCTTTTGTCCATATCCCCTTATCCCTCCAAAATTCTTAGTGTTGGTCTTCTATTGCTATTATTGAATATTTGGCACTTAGCTTTCCAAGCACAATGTTTGGTCTGCAGTCAGTAACAGATGTTGATTTTGGCTCACGTGTACTTAACATAGCTTACATACTACTTTTCTATTAAAAATAGTTCTCATGAATGTTAGATATAGCTTCAGGCTTATGAAATATTTGTAATGTTTTAATAAAAATCTACAAGTTAATTAGAAAGCAGATTGTTAACACAAATCCCGCTACAGACTGATTTGTGACACACTATGCTCAATGCTAATGAAACAAAAAGCAAACCCAGAACTGGAGTGGACAGTAGTGCAGCTGTACAGTTTGAAATAGGGTATTTACATTCAACCCATAACTAGCTTTTCAAGAAAGTGATCCTCTCCTCCGCTGTTCAAAAGGGTAACAGTCTGAGCAGCTGGCGCAGGGAGGAAGTAGGTAGACAAGGAGAATGAGACAGCAGGACAAAATAGAATGATGGAAGAAAAACATAACAAAACCAAAAAGCCTCTATAGCTGTATCAGTGTTAGAAATAAATTTAAAACACAACACCTGGGTCAGCTTCCAGGGTGCTTGAACTTCTAGTTTGCTTATCATGTAGGTTTTGGGTCTGGTTTTGCTGCCGTAGCTGCTGCCTGAAAGTGTTACAAATTTATAAAAGAATAGAATTAATATCAATGAGACCTACTTTGTTTTGAGTATCAAATACAGCTATGCCTTTATAGTTTGTAAAACAAACAAAATCTAATCAACAACAACAACCAACTACATTTCCAAACCTGATAAGCAAGACTCTTCTGTTTTTATAACAGACATTCAGTTCAGCATACTACATCTTTTGACAGTCTGAATATCAGTTAAAGCAGAAGAAATTAAACTATCGCAAAATTTTGTAATGGTGGTTTCTAAAAATCATAGAAAGCAAATTTAAAGATTTGGGCATTTTATATATTATAAGCTTATATAGTTTATCATAGACCAAGTCCTTCAAAATACAATTGAGAAATCACAAAGATCTTGTCACTGCTTGTACCATTTTGTCCTAGATTCCTTCTTGGCTCTGACAAAAATATCAACTACACTAAGGTAATCTGAAGTATGGGAACACCCAGTAATTATTATTTTTTTTAATAAACAGAAAAAAATACTTCTATTGTTTTTAGAATTAAGTACTCCCTATAAAAGCAACCCTGTCAAATGTTTACACTTATGTCTTTATTCTTCCTTTTTTTTTTTCAGATTTCGCTCTGACAGTATTTCCACCTTACTACAAAGTCTATTTCATTAGAAGGAAGACCAGGAGTGAGAAATATAGGCTACTATTTGCTACAGCAATGCTACTGCACCTAAATCCTTTCAGTTGTTACTTCCACTAACCTCCAGCCATCTATTCTCCCAACATTACATTCCTTTTTTTCCAGAATTCAGATTTCATCAATCTTACCCTCTCACAGAAAGACTAACTTCTCCAACCCCTAGCATTTCTCCTGAGTCTTAATTTGCCCCAACTCTAGAAGAGACAGATGGGTAAAAGCTACAACCATACACCCTTAATATATGAATGTATAGCAGAACACAAGAGTATCATGTAGAGCTCTTTCCCATGATGCACATTACATGCCTCTTCAGCAGAAGCAAAATCTTAGAGTATGAATCTTTTCCTCAAGGAAAATAATTACCAAAATTGTTTACAAGACTTCATGTAAATATATTTATACCATGCCTGTTTTCTTTCATTCACAAGACTGCAAATGCTGCCTTACTAACAGGTCCCCTTTTATTTACATTTTTTCCCAGTCATTACTTAACAGTAACTATTTGGGAATAGTGAAGTTCAGTTTCTATTAAGAAATCTTGTGAAGAGATAAAGGTTAAACAGGACCTGCCTCAGGCAGAAACCGCCACATCACTCCCCCCGCCCCCCAAGAGCACTAAAGACATTTGTTTCCATATGCAATTCAAGTTTCTTTGTGAGCTACTTTACTTTTCAAAATATGCTTCTCTTCTCCTTCGCAGTTCTTCTGAAGAAAATGAGTCTGACTGGCTGGTTTGAGGTGACTGTGGAAAACTCTGCGGTACTGAGTCCAAGAACTCAGTTCGACGACTCCCTAAAAGCAGAACACAACACTTTCTTCCACTAATTACAGCAAAATGAAGTTTGGAAACAGAGTATAATTTAGAACCATCTCCTCAAACTTGACAGGAGGAAAGAGACTTTTGGTAAAATAAGCACCTCGGCCAACTTCACTCATGCTATTTCTACTCACCTTAGGACTGTTTCCCTTGCCTTCTGTCACCAATTTACAATTCATTTCTGCTTTCCATTGATTAATGTTAACATAAAAAGTAGCAACTTTTTGAAAAGTCATAGATACAGAAAAGACTGAATTATTATTCCCTGCCTCAAAGCCAGGCTCTTCAGGGAGCTTGAAGCATGCAGAGGAAGCAGCTCACCAAAAATGTTTTTGGTAGCCACTGTCTCAAAATCGGTTAAAAAATATTACAGAAGACATTTAAATAACCACTGTACCTTGCATACTGAGTTGAATGGCTCTACGAAGATCAGCTTCTTCATCTTCCATATCAATTTCCTGCCTACTTAGGGCCAAAGCTCTTTGAAAATTCTCCTCATCTTCATCTAACATGCTTGTTCCATCAAAAGGCTGGCTAACTTCTACTGCTTGGTCCACATCACTTTTGGGTGGTCTGTAAAGATGATGCATTTAAAACACTGTCAGATAATTAATTTTGTGAGATTTAACAGAAATATTTTGTGCTAGTATAACTCTATTTTGTTTTAAGCTTCAGAAGAAAGTGTTTCTCTTGTGATAATGCCTGGCATGTATTCCCTTTTTTTTTCTACCTGAACAACAAAAGCACAGACTGCATGCGTAGCTCTTTCAGCTGTAAGAATGAACACACTGCAAGTCTCAACCAATGCACATATGCTTACAAGACTGCTATACAGGAAAAGAACTATAATGCTATAGAAAAAAACAGTAATATTTTATGTTATTTGAACCTATGCTATTCAGTTTTGCCAGCAGAAAGGAGTGCAGGTGGTCTTTTCCTTAGGAAGCTTTGAATGCTTCACTAAAAACTGTAGGTGCTTTTCACATCTCAACCAAGGAGTTTGTTGTTCTCATGTCACCAATTTACAACATTACATTTTACATACACCAAGTAGAAGAAACACTAATGAACTAACTCCTCTAAAAGCAAAAAGGAGCCTAAGCCTTTTCTTAAATTAGTATGCAATTTATTCGTTATGAAAATGTGACATTAGTTCTTTGCAATAGGTTCTTTGTACTGCTAAGGATGCGTGCTGTATTAGTAATATGGATGACAATCCTGTACCACCACAGCGTTTACGGTGAAATTATGTCAAAACATAGCAATATATAATTTATAATAATGTGGACTTCAGTTATGGGATGATCATGGTTTTCTACTTATAATGGAATGCATAAGATAATCTTAACTGTAAATCTGCTAATATTACCAACAGATGTTAAGATTGATGTACTCCACATCATAAACGGAAAAATACCATTAACTATGCTATTAAAGTCTACATTATACAATACACACACATAGGAAAACTCAATTCTTCTTACAGGAATTTTTGTACTCAAAAATACTCATTATACTCTACTAATTGGGTACAGCAGTAGTAAACATAACACACTGAAGGCATTTCTAACTACTTCACAGGAGTTCTTGGTAAAAGAAAGGTTTTGTGCCCATGTAGGTATTAGTCCTGGAAACCCATCATGTTTAACATTGTTTAAATGAAATCTTTATTTACCTCTGTTCTCTTGACTGTGCTGTCTCTTCTCCAATTAATTTTGGTCGTTGCATCTGCTGTACCCGAATCATCTGCAATAGCTGATCAGCCTCACAATCTGGTAATTCACCTTTTACCACAAATATGGAATAACCTGAGAAAAATAAATCATAAGTCTACAATATAAGGTGCATGAATAAATACTCTAATATACACACTATACAGAAGACAATGATGCGTGATCTATTACAATATAAGACTCTACCTTTCATTATAAGGACTTCACTATTTCAACCACAAAGCTAAGGGTAATTAACTGAATAGAAAAAGTTCTAATAAATAATCATTATTACCTACTTTTTATTAACGAGATTTAACATCTGCAAATTACTATTACCTTCCTGTTGTAATTGAGCCAAGAAAAGTGCAAGATATGTATCTGATATTAGTTCTGGACCCATCAAGAGAGAGTTCAAGTTAAACCACTGTAATTAAGAAAAAAAAAGGTTTGAGAGAACAAATTAGCATGAAGATTACTTGGTAATCCATTTCTGTACAATGTGGTCATTTTTAATGATGGAATATCTGATTCAATATAGTAAAGTAAGTTATCAAATTGAAAGTTCTTTGAAAAGCACTATGCTGCTCAAGGTTACCCTTTAAATATTTTTCAGCTAACGAGATCTGAACCGAGAAAGTTACTACATGCTCTCTCCTACTACTGAACACTGGTACCAGGAAAACAACCATTAAGAAAGGGGAAAAAAAAAATACCCTAAATATAATGCTATAAGAATTCTCAGCCGTAATTTTAAAATATTACTTAATTCTAGTTTTCCATTTGCTCGGAAATTGATATTCAGAAGGAATAAAACCTTCCTAAGTTCACGCTATATCCTTTTACATTAGTAGAGACAGTAAAGTGAAGAACAACTGAAGGCTTTCTGTTAAAGGCATTCTAAAAGGCACTCTAAGCACGTTGCCTTTAATAGTCAGCGATGCTGAAAATAACATTTTATTTTAATTAAAAAAAATCCTCCCAGAAAATTAAATATTAATCAAAGAAAAATGAACTAAAGTTTAATATGCTGATAACTCACCATAATATTACAATAGGTGAGACTTGAGATAACTCTACACAGATCACTCCCAGTTCCCTGAGCAGGGTGGTGTGTCATTTATAATACTAATACTAAAGAAAAAAAAGTCAAAATGGATGGAAAGATATTATGCCTTTAAAATTCCACACATTGCACTAAGTTGGAAGATTTTTTTTTTTAATTCACGATGCCCATTCAATATCATCATATTTTAACAAGGAAAGACCATCTAGAGATGGCAGAAGGAAAATTCAGTCTCCATTAAAAAAAATATCTAAAATCTATCTGCCCATACTTCCAACAGATATTGATTGTACATATTCACACACTTCCACTTAGGCCCATACTGTAATTCACCTGAAATACAGGCAACTTGCTATCTACCATTCTGCCAGTCACTCACTCAGATATGCTTACTCAAAACAAGTCCTTTGTAGAGCTAGAAAAGGGTAAGAACATAAGAACACCTAGATTGTTGGACAGGAAGAGGAGAGTTAAAAGGTTATGTATGCAAGTATGTGGGACAGATTACACCCAAACATTTAAAAGAGAAAGAGGAAGATTCCAGGAACTTGTTTTGCTATAATTTTAGCAGAGCAGACTTGGGTCAAATCACTATGCCAATCTGATTTGCCTTTTCTTATTGGTTTCTAGATAACAGACACCTTGTGTTGCTTTCACACGGCTACAAACCAGAAAAAGACCCCCCCCACTCCAACTTAAAGCTTTAGGCTAGAAGGTCAAAATTTCAGCCTACATGGTTGTACGTATAATAAGGAATTTTCCTCATGCTTTTAAGCATTTTCCTTGTAAAAGAAAAAAAATTATCAGACATACTTTGAAACTAAACCAAAAGAGCAAGCAGTATTTTGTAAGCTTCCCAGCCTAACAGTTCTAATTAAAACTAAACACAAACTTTTTTCCCTCCAGTTAGCTTGAATAATTGTTTCCAGCATAATTCTCCAGAGCTGCCACACTAGCTTCTGCTTCAGCTGAAATTAAGAAGGTTTCCTAAACGATGTTAGCATTCCAGCAACATGAGAACACTGCAAGGTGCTCTTAGGGACTGAGGCAGAGGCTTATTCACAAGTTATAATTTTTGTCTGGATGACAACATATGTGACCACTGTTTGTACTACAGATCAAACAGCTAAACTGACTCCTTTCCACTACTGTAGAGTTTAAAAGCTGATTTTGTGTTTTCTGTAACATAATAATGATGAAAAACCCCACTTACACTCTATGAAAGCTTATGCAGTATGATCCAGAACAACAGTCGGCTACTGAAATAAACATTACATTACATCTTTATAGACACATAGGTGCAGCTCTTGAATAATGATATATGCACCATATATCTGTGGGGAGCCAACCCTTTCCTCAATAATTGCCTCCTGTTTGTAATGCAATTGCTTCAGAAAATTTTCTTACGTTGGAGAGTTGTGCTTCTTCTTTCCTCCAGCCATAAGCCTATGAACAGTCTTAAGTACTGTCAATCATTCATACTAAAATTTCTGATGTAACAATGAACTTTTCCTTATGCCCACCAGCCAGTTGAATGAGCAAAACACTATTGCAATTCATTTTTATAAGGAAAAAGTCAGTGCATTAAAATAAGTCTACATGCTGCAGGGATCCTAAACCAAACACATATATATTTTTCCACACCGGAAAGAAAGGAAGACTTAGACATTAAACGGACTCTACTTGAGATGCAGTTTCCTAGATAAAATTGATAAAAATACCCTAGATAAAGAATTAACCACAGAATCTTTCCCCACACTAACAGTCACAAAAGTCTGCCTTGTAACTTGGCAAAAACTTTTTTTTTAAAGAAATACAGCTAAATCAAATGTCAGCAAAAGCCTCCAAAAGGCCAACAAATGGTCTCACTGCAACCATTTTTTCCACCCCCCACTCTGAAGTCAATTTTTAAATAAAAAAAAAGACAATGTCACCTGTTTTCCTAACTTTCGAACTGTAAACCAGTGTTCCTTATAATTACAAATAAATGATTTTTCATTTCTGTAAAAAGAAAAACAAAAGGTATAGATAAAATTAAATATTCTAATATTTGAGCGCATCATAAAGTTTAAATTATTTGCTATCACTAATTTAAACGTAAATACTAAAACACAACTGTTGAGGTACAGAGTATTTATACTGCTTTCATAACTTAAAATATGCAGGTAGTTGTCTTTTCCTGTAATGTTGACATTACTGAAACCTCAGTATGCCTGTGATACCAGTTACCCAGATGCCATGAAGACACAAGAGAAGAGATGCTTGAGTACACCCCCAGAAATAAAAATAATAATAAAAAAAAATGGCAGAAGGGATAAAAACTAATCATCAGTATATAACAGGGCTTGAAACAGGGATTTTAAAGAAACAGAGTTAGAATATATTTATTTTCAGCATTTTTATTCTGTTAAATGAAAGCAGAACACAAAAAAAAAAAGGGAAAAAAAAGTCTTACATAGGGTCAATTCCCAGTCTCTGATACTCTGGACTGTTGAAAAGGATTAGTTCCAAACCCCAAACTTTCAAGGCATTGCTTATAACCTGTCAAAAAATAGCACTTTTTGAGTTAAAACAGCTTAAATAACATAATCAATTTAGCTACTATAAAAAAATACTGGTTTTCATAAAAGTGATTTCAAAATATCATTATGAGAAAGGAAACCTCAGAATCATATTATTCATTTTTTCCCTTTATGCAGATCACAGTGCTAACTCTGTAAGCACTGCCAAGGGCTTGACAGTCTAAACTTTGAGAAAAACTCAGCTGTGTTTTTTCACCTGCTGCCTATGGAAGTCAAAGGACTGCCCCTGAAGTAGTTACAAAAAGCAACCAAAAAAGGCAAATTTATTGCCAGCAGAGGTGATTTCACAATTCAGGGGTCCATATTTCTTTAAGTCTTCAAGGGCCCACAAATAATTGCAAAGTAATAGTAAACACTAATGGTCAACACACTGAAGACTTAGAAATCCATTACTTCCCTACCCCATGAGGTGAAAAGACTGATGGCATTTAAAATGTGTTAAAAGATAATATATATTTTATGAAGAAAAAATGTTACAGTGTACAGACATGCTTACTTGAATTGAGAAGTATCCACTATCATCCATATTTACAGAAGGCTGCTGCTCAATTTGAGGTTGGAAGAGAGAAGAAGGAAAAAAAAGATATAAGCATAAAAGGTCAGCAAAAATCAACTTTAAGAATACAGAAAACTGCACACACTTAAAGCAACGACTAAATACATCCTATTCTTTAAGGCTGATTACAATGCCCAAATATGCTTATTAATAAAAAGCGCAAACCTTCAAATTAGAAATGCTCAGTGCTTAGAAGCGAGACAGGCACCAGAACTTCTGTTCCCATCTCTGCCACTGGCTTACTCTGACAAAAGGCAAATCTCTCATCCTTCTCGCCATGCCTGACCTCCCTACCTGTAAGATGGAGATAATATGTCTTTTATAGAATTACCGTAAAACTTCATAGCAAACTTTGAAAATGCCAAGTCTGAGATGATGGGAAAAAAAATAAAAATAAAAAAGCTATCCTGATATAAATTGAATAAATTCGAGTCCTGAGAAATAAACCTTCTATAACTGTGCAAAAATATCAAGTATATGCTACACAATACTGTAGCATATACTTGATTGAACAGTATTGAAACAATACTGTTTTCATGAAAACAAATGACCAATGTGAATTTTAAAATACTTTACCTGTAAAAATGTTCTGTATTCTTCACTGGACATTCCTCCCTCTGCCATTCTCATTCTTTCTTCCTCATCCAGCTGCTGTGCAATTGAGGATAACTCAACAGGACTAAAATACTCTCCTTGGAGCAAATTATTCAGACAGTGCTGAGCACACAAGGAGCCTTCTTGCTAACATTGGAAAACAAAGCAAAAATACACAAATGCCACTTTAGTGATCTGGAAATTTTGCTTCAACCATTTCATTCTGGGAAACTCCCCTCTTCCCCGTAAATGCAGTATTTTCTTCAGATATATTAATCCGAAAGCTTTAGAATAAACACACACACACAAACCCCTTCAGCTTAACAGATCCGCTTCGCATAGTACAGAAGAGAAATAAATTCAAAGTAAAAATGCTGTTTTAGAAAGCGATGTAAAGATAGCCTATGGCCAAGTCACATAAAGATTTTCGGACCAGCAGGACAACAGATTCTGTCCTCTTCAAAACCACCACAACTTCGAAAATGAAACCTTTTTGATCTCTAGCTGCCAGTGACAAAGTTCTCTGTAAAACATATTCTTGTGCCATTAAACTTTCCTTCCATGCCGGGTATGATTACCAGCAATCTGCTCTCCATATGTGGCTAAGGAAATGCAGGCCATTAAGATTTTGAAGAGATTTAAAAGCATACAGACACAGAATTTTCTTTCATTTCAGGTTACTCACCCAATTCAGGTTATAACCAGTTCATTTACTGCTGAGAAAGTCATTAGAAGCTGGAAGAGCACTAAAGCCTGTTTTCTGCATCAAGTTTATAAAAAGGAACTACGTAAAAGAAGTTAAAACCTACCGATCTTAGAAGTGGAAATGATGAGAAAAAAAATAAACAACAAAAATATTTTTGTTCATCAACTATTTATATGCAAAATTTTTAGATGTTTTAGTGTTTAGTGCAGTGGTTTAGTGTTTTAGATCTTTAGTGAAAGATAAACTGTTATCTTTCAAAAAAAAAAAAACCTTTCAGCAACTAAAGAAATAACTAAACCACAAATGCATGATAAGGTAAATATCAGTTTTGAAATCCATGTTTCATCTTCACCATTTTAATCAATACTCCCTATTTTTAAGAACTCGAATGTTCACGCACTTTGCAGAGTAAAAGCAAAAACAAAACCCTCATTCAGACAAAATCGAAACGCCCAAACCCCAAAAGCACTCTTCAAACTTCTGTGACAGTAAAGTAGGAATCTCAAAGAATTTCCTTTACTCCAGATTGTAAGTTTTCCTAGGGCTTCATCACTCAACTAGGCAATTAGTTAAGGCTAGACGAGCTGTACAGGCTGGGACCCAAATGGACTTCAGAAACTTCCATCTGCACAGGCCCCTGAGCTCCTGTTTTCCCCAGCAAGATACTCTGGACTCCCCACCAGCCCCCAGCCCTCAAGGATCATGTGGACCCTCCTGTTAGTCATATCAGACTACTCAAGCACAGGAACAGGCTTAGGAATCCCAGGTTTCTCCACCAAAACTGCATGAAGCTGATTTAGTAACAAAGGGAGGCTAAGGTCTTTGAGAAGGAGTTGTATGACATTTTAAAATATCAGTTTCACTGAAGTGACATTTCTGTATCTGTGCAGAAAAAGTTTGATCTTAAAACATTATTTTCATATGCATGACTTGTCCATACTAAGGGTAAGAGCAGAAAAATGATCTTATGGTTTGTAAGAAAAGTTAAGTTTTCTTTGTGTGCAGACAACACACACAATATCTTTCCATAATCTGAAATCTTGCTAGAACCAATATTGATATAAAACCGCTGTGCTGCTTTCAGCATTTTCAAACACTTGTATTGCATACAAGCAAGGGCCAAATTTTAAGACAGGGGCTCCTAAAGCCTGGAAGGGACCTACTTTGGGCACCTGCCATCCTCCTGTAAAAGATGTCACATTGCTTAGGTCTTTGTTTTGTTAGAGGCATTTATTTCATGCCTTAGCTATTTAAATTCAAAATGATGGGGTGTACAAGTGATGCACATGCACATTTAACATTCTCAGCATCTGGTCAGGAACTGAAATAGTGCACTTGATGTAATAAAATACCTCTTAAAGGGACAAAAAAAAAAGGACATGGCAGTTGAGTCAAGTTTTTTTTTTCCCCCCTAGAATAATAATTACAAGAAAATAAAACAAACTTGAGTACCAAGTATTTTTAAGACACGGCCATGCACCTTAACAACTGCTCAATCACCTTACTAAAGCATAACTACATCACATTCAAGACACCTCCGAAACATTAAAACTAACAAAACAAACAAACAAACAAAACCCCAAAAAAACCCACCCACCCCACAATAAGAACCTGTGGTAACTACAAACAGGAGTTGGTTTGCGACTTCAGCTGTTTTGTGCTCTGTCATTTTTAGCCTTAGTAGAGTTTTATTATTCTAAATCGACAAAGAAATTTGCTCAAAAATCCTTTAAGTTACTACTTTCTCACATGACAAGTTTGACTACATGACAGGAAAGTACACTTATTTTGAACTTGTTATTTCCAAGCCTGGACTGTAAGCCAGGGTCAGTACCACAGCTGCACAGGATGGTTGGGCTCAGAGAGCAGAAGTCTGTAAGCACTTGTGTTAAACAGCTGCTGCTGGGAGGATCCCAAGCCAGCCTGAAAAAGCCTATATGAATTTCATATGAGTTTCCTTTATAAAGTTATTCAGTTCACTTGCTGGGGCACGGTTTATAAGAGCTAGGATTATTTTAACATAATAAAGATATTGAGACAGTAAAAAAAAAAAATCAGCAAGCAGACAGCAGCACCCCAACAGCACTGAAGCACCCACAACTGTGACTTTGGAAGCTAGACAAGCCCGAGAGCCAAGAGAAGGAGTTTTTCTCTAAACCAGGAAAAAGCTGCTTGGCGCACAAGAGTGCTGCGCACAAACTAGGACTTCCTTAACAGCCCAACCCAGCTCAGGGAAGTGGTGGGAGATCACAACAAGAAGAGCTGGGGATGGGCCTGGCTGCGCTGCCCCTCGCACCGGCGCCTCGGCCAGCAAACTCACAAGCATAAGGAGCTTGGGCCTTTCA